TATAGCCATTTTGATAATATTGATTCTTCCAATCCATGAACACGGTATAGTTCTCCATATGTTTGTGTCCTCTTTGATTTCTTTCATCAGGGATTTATAGTTTTCTATGTATGAGTCTTTTAAAAATATGGAACACTTCATGAATTTGCATGTTATCCTTGTGCAGGGGCCATGCTAATCTTCTCTGTATTGTTCCAATTTTAGTATATGTGCTGCCGAAGCGAGCACATGACTGGTTTTCTAATGCCGGTTTCCAGCAGCTTCCAGCACATAGAAATTTCAGCCTTTGACAATAGTAAAAAAATATTTAAAAAAAATTAATCAGTTACGGTTGAAAAAATTTGATGCTATAGAGTCCTCAGTCATTCAGTCAGATCAGTTCAGTCATATCCGACTCTTTGTGACCCCAAGGAATGCGGTACACCAGGCTTCCCTGTCCATCAGCAACTTCTGGAACTTGCTCAAACTCATGTCCATCAAGTCGGTGATGCCATCCAACCATCTCATCTTCTGTCGTCCCATTCTCCTCCTGCCTTCAATCCTCCCCAGCATTGGAGTTTTTTCCAGTGAGTCAGTTCTTTGCAGCAGGTGGCCAAAGGATTGGAGCTTCAGCTTCAGCATCAGTTCTTTCAATGAATATTCAGGACTGAACTCCTTTAGGATTGACTGGCTTGATCTTCTTGCAGTTCAAGGGTCTCTCAAGAGTCTTCTCCAAACTAGAATTCAAAAGCATCAATTCTTCGGCACTCAGTTTCCTTTAAGGTACAATTCCACAATCATACATAACTATTGGAAAAAAACAAAGCTTTGACTAGACAGACCTTTATTGGCAAAGTGATGCCTCTTTTTTTTTTTTTTAATATACTATCTATATTGGTCATAGTTTTTCTTCCAAAGAGCAAGTATCTTTTAATTTCATGGCTGCAGTCACCATCTGCACGATTTTGGAGTCCAAGAAAATAGAGACTGTCATTGCTTCCGTTGTTTCCCTATCAACTTGCCATGAAGTGATGGGACCAGATGCCATGATCTTTGGTTTTTGACTGTTGAGTTTTAAGCCAGCCTTTTCACTCTCCTCTTTCACTTTCATCAAGAGGTTCTGTAGCTCCTCTTCAGTTTCTGCCATAAGGGTGGTGTCATCTGCATATCTGAGGTTATTGTTATTTCTCCCAGCAATCTTGATTCCAGCTTGTGTTTCATCTAGAGTGGCATTTTGCATGATGTACTCTGCATATAAGTAAAATAAGCAGGGTGACAATATACACCCTTGACATACTCCTTTCCCAATTTGGAACGAGTCTGTTGTTCCATGTCTGGTTCTAACTGTTGCTTCTTGACCTGCATACAGATTTCTCAGGAGCCAGGTAAGGAAGTCTGGTGTTCCCGTCTCTTGAAGAATTTCCCACAGTTTGTTCTGATCCACACAGTCAAAGCCTTTGGTATAGTCAATGAAGCAGAAGTAGATGTTTTTCTGAAACTCTCTTGATTTTTAATGATCCTACAGATATTGGCAATTTGATCTCTCATTCCTCTGCCTTTTCTAAATCCAGCTTGAACATCTGGAAGTTCTCAGTTCATATACTGTTGAATTCACATAGTGTTCACATAGCTTGGAGAATTGTGAGCATTACTATGCTATCATGTGAGATGACTGCAATTGTGCAGTAGTTAGAACATTTTTTGGCATTGCCTTTCTTTGGGGTTGAAATAAAATCTGACCTTTTCCAGTCCTGTGGCCACTGCTCAGTTTTCCAAACTTGCTGGCATATTGAGTGCAGCACTTTCATAGCATTATCTTTTAGGATTTGAAGTAGCTCAGCTGGAATTCTATCACCTCCACTAACAACCAACAGTCCTTAGAAGTCCAATATGTAAACAGAATTAGAATGAACTAAAAGAGGCAGAAAACTTCTAAATCTTTCAGATTCTCCATTTTGCTGCTAGTTATGCTGACTTTTATCTCCTCAAGGCAGAACAGCCTTGAGAGCTCATATGTTTATCTGCATAATAGCTTTTTACTTGCTTCTTTTGTTTATTTGTTTTCCACAGTTATTTGATTACCAGATCCATGCTAAGGCCTGAAGGTATCTTTGCTTAGAATCAATTACAGACCCCTGTGACAGGTGAAGAGGAAAGCTTATTTCACCTTGAAAATGTGAAGAAAGTTTGTTTTTCCAATTTGGTATATATTTCATCCAGAAAATTTAGGGTTTCTAATGTTTGTCATGAGGTGAGGACATTTCCAAGGCCTATTTATAATATTAAATTAGGTAAAGCCCATAGGGGCTTCCCAGGTGGCACTAGTGGTAAAGAATCTGCCTGCCAATGCAGGAGACATAAGAGACAGGTTCAACTCCTGGGTCTGGAAGGTCCCTTGGAGAAGGGCATGGCAACCCACTCCAGTATTCTTCCTTGAGAATCTCATGAACAGAGAAGCCTGGTGGACTACAGTCTATAGGGTCACAAAGAGTTGAACACGACTGAAATGAGTTAGCATGCACAATGCCCATAAGGACTTCCTAGGTGGCTCATTGGTAAAGAATCTGCCTGCTAAGCAGGAGATACAGGTTCAATCCTTGGGTCAGGAAGATTCCCTGGAGGAGGGCATGACAACCCACTCAAGTATTCTTGCCTGGAGAATCCCATGGACAGAGGTGCTATAAACTCCATAGGACCAGTAAAATCTAATAATCTGAGAGCCAAACAGTCACACACACTTCTTTATGTTACTCTGGGGACATTTAGGATGATGATTACTGGAAAATAGGTTCTGGTGCCAGTAATCAACACAAGGAGCAGAAGAAAGTCCTAGGCAGAAAGCACAAAGGACAGGAAGGACCTTCAGAACAAAGTAGTAGAAAGAAGGGTAATAATCATGGCCTACAGAGATCAGTTAATAAAATTCTAATATAAAATTTCCCTTTTAGAACAGATTGTTTCTATCATATTCATACAGTATATCCCCAATATCTATATCTATAGCACATGGCACATTAAGGTGTTCAATAAAGTCCTATTAGCTAAATAAATCTCCAAACATCTTGCTTGAAGAAAGGATAGCGTGAAAGAAGATGAAAAGCTTCCCATTCAATGTGTGGGGATAGAAAAGTAAAATCTCTCTGAGAAATTAAACACATCAATGACTTGACTTATTCTGGTACCTTGTACCTTATTGGCTTCAACTACAACAAACTTGGCTCTGAACCTTTAAACCTCTTTAGACAATTAGAGAAGTACAGTGACCACATAGCAGATTCTTCTCAGAGCCTGCCAACACTGGATGAGAATGCTGACTTAATTCTAAGATATTATAACATAAAGAGTCATTAATAATTCAAAATCTTGTCAAGAGACCTAAAAGAGAGGACCCAAATGGTAGTGCATGAGAAACAAAACAAAATGAAATAATTAAGGCAGAAGGGTTTTCAAAAGCACACAAAAAGACTCAAGAACTAAACACTTGAGGAAATCAAATGGTTATTATTACCTCTATATAAGATCCCAACACAGAGTCTCATAAAAGAAGTACAATGTTATTTTAAGGCCCCTGTGAGCAGATCAACAGTGATATGCTTTGTTGACAAGATTTGAATCACACATCTACATATATGCCTATTAACAGAAAGAAGTGTTTTGTTATTATCCACTCAGGCTGAATTCAGAAACTCACAGCAAAGGTCTGCCTCCTGTTCAGATCCCAATGTTGAAAGGAAATGGAGAAACAGCAGTATAGTTAATTTGACTTAGTAAAGTAAAAAAAAAATAGGCCCAGGAAGATATTTTTACCTTTAATAAACAGTTTTGATTATCATCATCAAATGCCTACACTTTTACAAACCTGAGTTTCTCAGCCCAGCATTTATAGAAAATTGCCAAGTATCATTTCTAGATAAAAGCACAATTCAATATTTATGAATAGCTAGCTTTCTATAAATATAGACATTTGGAGATGATCTTCTCACTAGTCATTAAAATTTGAACAGGGATCAAAGCTAGAATAATATTAACAATTCCTTGCATTTGTAGAGTATTCTACAAAATACTATTAATAACAGATGACATTTATTGAGTACTTAGCAAGTGCCAGGCACTTTACATGTAAATTCTCATCATGAATTCAGTTCAGCTCAACAAGCATTCACTTAACACCTACTGTGTGACAGGTGAATAACACTTGGTTTCTGGCTTTAAAAACTCTCATTTTGGTGCACTCAATCAATGTTGAATGAATAAATGGATGAACAAAGTAATCAGTTTGAATGGCAGTGTGGGATAATAACAATAACACAGGCTCTTCCCCTTAGTATTTATGGTCATGAGGATGTACTTAACCTATCCTAGCCCCAGTGTCTTTGTCTGTAATATAGGGATCTTTAAAATAATCTCCCTTGCAAAAATGTTGTGAGAATAGTAACATCAAATGTAAAACATCTGACAAAGAACAGATTTTCTCAGTAAGTGGCAGTAGTTATTATTAACATTATCATCATCATCTTCATTACTATTATTAAGTAATTCTATACAACTGTCCTCAGCTACACTATAGCAATGGGACAAATAGAACTTTAGCATCCAGAAATATTCACACCACATCTATACAAAGAAACCACAATAAACAAGCAAAACAAGGGAACTCTACAAAACTGTAGCTCCCAATATCCTCCTGGGTTAATGTACAATATCTCTGCACAGGTTAGAAAAGAAAAAACAAAAACAGAGTCAGCTTTATGCTTCCAAAGATGTCATGATAAAAGCCAAATAAGACAGGAAGTTTATCTTATCAAATAACAGACTGTACATTCCCTCATAAGAGAATGCTAGTAATTCCAAACATGGAACCATGATTTCTTTTCCAACATTCTCAAAGAGCAGTGCCGAGAGCCCAGACAATGAACATGCAGAAACTCACTGAACTCTTCTTAGGACCAGTAGAGCAGATAAATTGGAGCCCTGGGTCACATTCTCCAATCAAAAGGAGGTCCATTCCGTGGGTCACTTACCATTTTGGTCGGCTGGTAGATTTCACCATAGGTGCCATCCCATCTCTATAAAGACTTTTAGTTTTGCTGAAGTTAACAATGTTGAAAATGACTCTCTGAGAAAGAAAGAGGGGAAAGTTTATCAGAAGACTGTGCTATTCAGGTTGCCCCTTTCTGATAATTAGAACTGGAAGTAAAAAGTAGGGTTAAGGGAAACCATATGGACTAGCTACCAACATAGTGAGAATAAATGATATTCATAGAAATTCAGTGTTTCTGCTAGCTTAGCATAGTAATCAAGAACATAAACTCTGGAATCTGGAAGGCTTACTTTTAATCTCACTCTACCACTCTCAGTCTGTCACCTTGCCAAGCTACTAAATCTTTCTTTGCCTCAGTTTCCTCATCTGAAAAATTGGGATAATAATGGTACCTAGGGTCACTGATGAGAAATGATTTAATGTATGGTACTTGGAACTTATCTTGGTACATAGTGAAGGCTATATAAGTTTTAGTTATTTTATTAATTGCATCTTCTCTCTAGGCTGACCTAGAATGTCCATGGAAATGAATATCACTATAATAACAGTGGTGCATTTGAAGTTCAACAAAACTAAAGATAACAGCTTAGTGAAAATTGAAATTAAAAACTTCTGTAGCTGCTCAGCACCCCTTTGACTACAACTACAGAATATATGTTTTCTCCCTTTTTGTTGTTTTCTGCTAGGGGCCAGGAGTACTGGGCTCAATCCTAATCTTAGTATCAGTTTATAGGAGCACAGACGCTTAGGTGAGTTCCTTCCCTCCCTCGGTGCACCTTTACAATGGGGGAGTAGAATGTTTTAGATGACTAAAACCCTTCCAGAAGTGTAGTTGACTTAAAAGAAAACAAGTCTTTGTTTTAATAAACAACTTTATCACAAGTGAGGAAGACAGATGGGGAAGGAGCAGAGAATTGGGGTTAAAAAACATTAAATGACCACTGAAATAGTCCAAAGGAAAAAGGATGAGGATCAGGGCAAGAGCAGGCTGAATAGTCAGAGAAAATGAAAAGCTTTCAAGAAGTTACCATAGGCTGGCCTTTCTGTCCAAAGGCAGTGAAAAACAGATGCATCAAAATTCATGTATTAATTCACTGAATAAATATTTATTGTGCTAGGTATTAATGTCAAGTGCCAGAAATTGTATACACTTAAAAATTTTTTAATATTCTCTTACAATTATATTAAAATACAAACATCTCCATTTTACAGATGTGGAAATTGAGGTTCAGTGATGTTAATTATCCTGTCTTAAGTTGTGCAATTAACAGATGGAGAACTGATATCTAAACTCAAGGAATAAAAGAGTTAAGACAGCCAAGATCTCTAAGTTACTCACTAAGGTTCCAATTTCATAACTCCAATCAAGTCTGTTTTCCAAAATAAGGGCAAAAATAAATATAAATATAGTGGGCACTTTTTGAAACCTTTAAAAAAACCTTTTGTTTTCCTTTAAAAATATAACACCCAAAGCATTTCCTCTGGATTCATATTTGGGACTACCATAAAATGCTTTGTTCTATGAAATAAGGTCTTAGGAATAACTCATGTTTTCCTTTCTCCTCAGAGACCTAGCCATTGACCCTCTCTCTAGGCATTTCAGTTTCCAACCTCTTTTCTGTCATTACGTTAAGTCATCAAGAATGTCCAAGGCTATTCCATTATTAATAAACCAGACCTGCCTGTTGTCAGTTCAATTATTTCTCCTAGGGTCTTGGCTACTGTTTGATTTAAGAAAATCACTATCAAGGGGGACAAATGGCCTTTGAACCTCACAGGGCCATGATGTACTTTTAGGATCTAGACTAATGCTAAATGCAAGAGGAGATCTAATACAGAAAGAATGTATATATGTGAAGCTGGAATAAAAAATGAAAAAGTGGAATATTTATTGATCATTCATATCCTACCACATGCCAAAAACTTTCCCCCAGGTATTTAAAACATACTATATTATTTAGCTTCTCTATTCATAAACAAAATTGTTCATTTTAGACTAATTTTAGACATGAGGAAATTGAATCTAATAAATGGTAACTGGCTTATACCCCCACCCCCAGATCCCAGAACTATTAAATGGTAGAGCTAGAACTTAAATCCTAAGTGTCTAGACAATAAATATACTTTCTCTATGATACCAAATGCAAAAAGGAAACAACCTTTCTTTCTTTCGTTTTGGCTGCGTATCTTGTAGGATCTTAGTTTCCCAACCAGGAATCCAACTTGGGTCCAGGCAATGAAAATGCCAAGTCCTAACCACTGGACCACTGGGGAATTCGTGGACACATTCTTTTATGATTCTCCACCCATGCATTTTTTAAATTTATTTTTTAAACTTTTTTATTTTGTATTGGGATATAGCTGATTAACAAATAATGTCATGATAGTTTTGGGTGAACAGCAAAGGAACTCAGCAATACATATACATGTATCCATTTCTACCCAAACTCTCCTCCCATTTAGGCTGCCACATAACATTGAGCAGAGCTCACTATGCTATACAGTAGGTCCTTGTTGGATATCTATTTTAAATAAAGCAGTGTGTACATGTCCACCCCAAACTCCATAATTATTCCTTCCCCCATTCTTTCCCTTGGCAACCATAAAATTGTTCTCTAAGTCTGTGAGTCATTTTCTGTTTTGTAAGTTCATCATTTATTTTCAGATCCCACATAAAATGGATGTAACACAATATTTCTCCTTCCCTATCTCATTTACTTCACTCAGGATGACACTCCCTAGGTCCATCCATATTGCTGCAAATGGCATTATTTTGTTCCTTTTAATGGCTGAGTAATATTCCACTGTATATATGCAACACATCTTCTTTGGCCTTTCCTCTGTTGACTGACATATAGGTGGTTCCCATATCTTTGCTCTTGTAAACAGTGCTGCAAGGAACATTGGGATGCCAGTATCCTTTCATCCTGGTTTTTTTTTTTTCCAGATAAATGCCCAGGAGTGGGATTATAAGGTCATATAGTAGCTTAATTTTGAGGTTTTAAAGGAAAAAAGAAAAAAACTATAGTAGTCACTGTACCAATTTACATTCCTACCAACAGCGCTGGAGGGTTCTCTTCTCATCACACCCTCTCCAGCATTTATGGTTTGTGGAATTTTTTATCATAGCCATTCTGAGTGATGGGAAATGGTATCTTCATTGTAGTTTTGATTCCCACTTCTCTAATAACTAGTGATGTTGAATGTCTTTTCATGTGTCTCTTGTCCATCTGTATATCTTCTTTGAAGAAATGTCTATTTAGGTAGGTGTTCTGCTTGTTTTTTGATTGAGTTGTTTGTTTTGATGCCGTTAAGCATCATAAGGAGTTCGTAAATTTTGGAGACTAATCCCTTGCTGGTCAAATCATTTGCAAATATTTTCTACCAATCTAGGGTTGTCTTTCTGTTCTGTTTCTTTCCTTTAGTGTGAAAATTTTGAGTTTAAGTAAGTCCCATTTGTTTATTTTTGTTTTTATTTCCATTATTCTGGGAGATGGATCAAAAATTAAGGCAGAGGAATCAGAGATCAGATTGCCAACATCCGCTGGATCATCGAAAAAGCAAGAGAGTTCCAAAAAAACCATCTATTTCTGCTTTATTGACTATGTCAAAGCCTTTGACTGTGTGGATCACAATAAACTGTGGAAAATTCTGAAAGAGATGGGAATACCAGACCACCTGACATGCTTCTTGATAAACCTGTATGCAGGTCAGGAAGCAACAGTTAGAACTGGACATGGAACAACAGACTGGTTCCAAATAGGAAAAGAAGTATTCAAGGCTGTATATTGTCACTCTGCTTATTTAACATATATGCAGAGTACATTATGAGAAATGCTGGGCTGGAAGAAGCACAAGCTGGAATCAAGATTGGTGGGAGAAATAACCTCAGATATGCAGATGACACCAACCTTATGGCAGAAAGTGAAGAAGAACTAAAGAGCCTTTGATGAAAGTGAAAGAGGAGAATGAAAAAGTTGGCTTAAAGCTCAACATTCAGAAAACTAAGATCATGGCATCCGGTCCCATCACTTCATGGTAAATAGATGGGGAAACAGTGGAAACAGTGGCTGACTTTACTTTTCTGGGCTCCAAAATCATTGCAAATGGTGATTGCAGTCCTGAAATTAAAAGACACTTACTCCTTGGAAGGAACTTATGATCAACCTAGACAGCATATTGAAAAGCAGAGATGTTATTCTGTCTACAAAGGTCCATCTAGTCAAGGCTTTGGTTTTTCCAGTGGTCAGGTATGGATGTGAGAGTTGGACTATAAAGAAAACTGAGAGCCGAAAAATTGATGCTTTTGAACTGTGGTGTTGGAGAAGATTCTTGAGAGTCCCTTGGACTGCAAGGAGATCCAACCAGTCCATCCTAAAGGAGATTAGTCCTGGGTGTTCATTGGCAGGGCTGATGTTGAAGCTGAAGCTCCAATACTTCGGCTACCTGATAGGAAGTGCTGACTCATTTGAAAAGACCCTGATGCTGGGAAAGATTGAAGGCAGGAGGAGAAAGGGACAACAGAGGATGAGATGTTTGGATGACATCACTGACTCAATGGACATGGTTTTGGGTAGACTCCAGGGGTTGGTGATGGACAGGGAGGCCTGGCATGCTGTGGTTCATGGGGTTGCAAAGAGTTGGACACGACTGAGCAACTGAACTGAATTGAACTGATGTCAGACAGTATTCTCTATGTTTTCCTCTAGGAGTCTTACATTGTCCAGTCTCACATTTAAGTCTTTAATCAATTTTGAAATTATTTTTGTATATTCTACCTGTGCATTTTTAAAAATGTTTTGTACATTATTTAGCAAGGTAGCATGTGGTTGTGAGAATCAAAGGTATTTGGAAGCAAGCAGTGCAGAAAATCTTGGCTTCCATATTTTCTAGTTATTTGTCAGTTATTTACTCAAAATACATCAGACAAAGCTACATCTATGAGGTAATGGTAACAGTAACAACTATAATAGTAACTAACAACTTCTGAGATTTTCTATGCACCTAATTCTAAGCTGTTCATGCTAAGTCATGCTAAATCGCTTCAGTTGTGTCTGACTCTGTGCGACCCTATGGACTACAGCCTGCCTGTCTCCTCTGTTCATGGGATTCTCCAGGCAAGAATACTGGAGTGGTTTGCCATGCCCTTCTCCAGGGGATCTTCCCGACCCATAGATCGAATCCGCATCTCTTACATCTATCTGCATTGGCAGGTGGGTTCTCTACCACTAGTGCCAAAATCACCTGTACACTTTTTAAGTACTAGAGACGCGTGGACCTCATCCTAAGTTTCCCTGGTGGCTCAGTTGGTAAAGAGTCTGCCTGCAATGTGGATGACCTGGATTTGATCCTTGGGTTGGGAAGATCCCCTGGAGAAAGAAATGGCAACCCACTCCAGAATTCTTGCCTGGAGAATTCCATGGACAGAGGAGACTGATGGGCTAAATTCAT